GAAAGCAAACAAAGGGGAGGGGACCCCCGCGGCGTCCGGGGCGCAGGGAGCCAATCACGGGGCTCTCACCTCCCGGCAGGCGGGCGCCTTCGTTCCGGGGGGCCCAATCGGCTCCTACGGGGGGGCGGGGGGGCGGAGAGAGGGGCGGGCAGAGCGGGGACAGCGGACCGCGCGCGCCGGAGGGACCCCTCGGGAGCGGCGGGGCGGGGCCGCGGGGGGTGGGCGCGGGGGCGGGGCCAATCACCGCGCGTGCCTGCGCCGAGAGGGCGGGCGGCGCCGCGGCGCGCGCGGTCCGGGCTGACGCATCTGGCCGCGGTTCCCCGGGATCGCAAGGGGGCCGGAGGGGCGGGGGAGACGAGAAGGAGCGGAGGGCGCGCGTGCGCAGTGGCGCGGGGAGGAGCAGGGACCTGGCCGCAGGCTGGGAGGCTGCGAGCGAGTCGCGAACCGGGCGGGCGGCGGGCGGCGGGCGCGCGCACCATGGGGGAGAAACCGGGCACCAGGTAAGGGGGGTGGGGCCGCGCGGCGGGACGTGGGCGGCGGCTCGGGGCGGGTGCCGGGGCGGCCCCGGGACAGGGACACCGGGGAGAGACCCCGGGGGCCGCACGCCTGGGTCCCTAGGGGGCAGCCATCTGGGGCCGCACGCCTAGGTCCTCGAGGATAATGAGGGGGACGCATGCCAGGGCCCTTGCGGAAAGCGAGGGCTGAAGGGGCTCAGGAAGCCGGCGTCTGGGTCCTCGCAGGGATGTGGGGGCCGGACAACTGGGTTCTCCGGTGCAGCCTGCGATGCAGGGGCGGAGGAAGGAGGCGCAGGTGGCCGGCCCCGAGGGGTCGGGTATGGGAAGGCTGGATGCCGGGAGGGTTCTCCACCCACCCCCAGACTCGTGCCGAGCTGCGGGAGAGCCTCCTGTCCAGTACCCCACAGGCAGTCGGGCTGTCCCAAGGGCCAGGTGGCTCTGCTTCCAAACTTCTGCCTTCCCCCGGGTTGCTAGGAGCAACAGCCTCATCTTGGGGGAGCAGAGTGCGTGACGACCCTCCCCGCTTCTGGGCCTTACCCCTCTTCCCAGAGGTGAGGGAGGGCAGTATCTGCCCTGGGCACGCCATCCACTCCCCGGATGTTTTCTGTGCAATCGAGGCTCCTTCCTTCCACTGATACCCCGAGTTCTCTTTTTTGGTCTCTAGCAAAATCCACTTCCTGTTGTGGGCCAACACCCCCAAGGGGATAGTGGGTGCATGCCCGAGTCCCTGGGGAGCAGGAGCAAAAGAGGAAAAGATTGGGGCTGTATGCCTCTATCCAGACGGGATCAGGAATGGGGCCCTGGTCCCAAGACACCACTTGTACTCCAAACATTATCATTTCAGCCCCACCGCTCCCCACCCATAGAGGAGGAGAACCCAGGCTTCCGAGCACCAAGTTGAGTCGTATCAGAGAGATGATCGGAGGGCGGACTGGTGTCCTGGATTAGGGCTTAAACACCCCCAGAGAAGGGGAAGTCGCTGACTCGAGGGAGGCCCCCAGTTTCCGTTCTGTGGTTCAGGGAGGAGGATGGATGGACCAGAGGGGGGCTGCTGACTTGGCACAATTCCTGCCACCCCCATCTAATTCTGGGCCACAGGAAATGGAGAGAACATCTGCTGTCGCTGGCCCCCTCACTGGGCACCTCTGGGCACCCCCACACTCTGCCTCCTTGGCCAGCCTTAGCGTACAAGCAAGCGTACCTTGCTCCCTAGCGTCGCCTCCCAAGGGCAGGTGGCCCTGCAGGTGCTCCAGGGCCATTACCCCAAAAGCACAGTCTGATGGCTTTCTCCCTAATAGGAGGAAACCCTGGGACAAAGAGGAAAACGAAGCGAAGGGGAGGGGGAGCTGGATGATGCCATAGCTGTCTGCCCCCAGGTTGGGTGCTTATTCTAGCTGCCACCATACCAGTGTCTACTCTCCTTTATTGGATGGGGATACCTGGGGGCCACCATACCCTTTGTCTTATGGCCTTTGGACAGTCTGACCTTCTAGGAAGAAGTGGCAAGTGAAGTTGTTAGAGCAAAACTGGGGGGCGGGGGGTGCTGGAGGAAGGATGGGTCGGTCGGCAGGACTTCAGTTTCTACTAGCCGAGGACCTTTCCCAGGGATCGCTGCTGAGGCAGAGCGGATTGGGATGAGGAAGGTCAGACCTGCAAGCGACCAGAGCACAGGAATCACTAGACACCTACTTATGCTCTCAGCAGTGGGGAGAGTCCAGGCTTAGACTGTCTCAGCTCAGGGGAGCGAGTCCCCTGCAATTCAACAAATTTCATGCCAATTGCAGAGACGGGAGAGTATAACGGTTTAGTGATGAAGAGCATGGGCTCAGAGCCAGAGTGCCTCTGTTCATCTGAGTCCCACCAGTTACACCCTCTGGGGCCTTAGGCTAAATCCTTCAGTCCCTGTGCCTCGGTTCCCTCACCTGTAGATTAGGAATACTGGGTCGCTAAGAGTATTAAGTGAGATAACACACACGGAGCCTTTGAAACAGGGCGGAGCGTGGAGCATTCTCCCGACCCATGTCAGCCGGCATGATCGTCTCTCTCGTAGGGCCGGCGCCATGCTGGGGGAGCCTAACTGAACACAGCTCACGGCCATCACACCACCAGTGAAAGAAACATAAGCTAGTGTGACAGGAACCCCCCCCAAAAAAGGAGTAACCGGGGTCCGGGCTGGGTCTGCTTTCTAACTGGGTTTCTTCAAAAACAAATAGGCTTTGAGGCTGCTGAGATCAGGGATGGGGACAGTTGGAGGTTCATGGAGTCGGGTCACCCTTGAGTAGTGCCTATAAGTAGAATCCATTTTAGGGGCCAAAGCCAGGGCCATTGCCCTTCTGGGTACTCCAGCTGTCTTTGGAGCTAGAGACGGGAGACAATGGAGAGAGGGTTTGGTCTTAGAGGCTCCTACAACCTGCCCATTCGGACCCCCCTAGGGCAAGTGCTCTGGAAAGAGCCTGGGTGTTTCCTGTGGCAACCAGGGGCCATTGCCACGGGAGGAGGGGACCTAGTGAGGGTGGAAGGTGGGGGGGGGGGCACCACCGCTGCGTTGGGAATGGGAATATCAAGGACCTGTGGTTGCCCTCCTTCTGGGAGGAAGTGGGAGGGGTAGAGTTGGCAAAGCCCCAGAGCCTGCAGGCAGAGTCCTGGGTGAGCTCTGCTTTCTCGGGCTGGTGTGGGGGGTCCCTGCCGTGCGGTCTGAGGGAGTGGGGTTTCCCTTTCTGTTTTATTAGGGTCTTCAAGAAGTCGAGCCCTAACTGCAAGGTGAGTCTCCCATGCTGCTTCTCCTCCCAGCCCTCTCTGGGCCCCTGCAAGGCCCAGCCTGCCCCTAGCCGATCCCCAACCCCTAGCTCCCCACTTCCTGTGACAGCTAAGAGCCGACTTCCTTCCCTCCTGAAGCCCCTTGCTGCAAAGGCCGCTCAACCTGAGCCAGACACTGGGCTGGGTGGGCACAGGTCCGGGTCCCTAGGCAAGATGAAGGGGTAGGAGCCAGAAGCCCTAGGCTATACCCCTCTTGGGAGCCAGCCCAGGGTTCCTGGGCTGTGAACAGTCAGCAGCCCCCAGGCTATGGCCTGTGTGTCCCAGAGCCCCTTGAGGGGAGCCAGTGAGACCACACCCTGTTCTCTAACTGGCTGGGGGTGGGGGGGCGCGAGTCCTCCCCAAGCCCTCTCCCCACCCCACCCCACCCCACCCCACAGACACTCATACACACACTTGCCTGACTTGTGGGCAGAGGTGCGAAAAGCTTCAAGGGTGGGTAATCTGGGGAACCCCACCACTCTCCGCTTCTGACCCTGCTGGGAGGAACCCCGGGGCTACCCCAGCCTGGGAAAAACCGGGGCGGGACAGTCACTCTGAAGGGCTCTGATGCCCCGCACCCTCGTGCCCCAACTTCCACGTGCCCCTTCCGTATCCTCAGCTCACCGTGTACTTGGGCAAGCGGGACTTTGTAGACCACCTGGACAAAGTGGACCCCGTAGGTAAGTGTGCCCAGAAAGTACTGCTGGGGCCCCCAAGATGGGGAGAGGTTCCCGGGCCCAGGGATGGAGGCGAGGCCCTGACAGGAAGTGAGCTCGTGTGTCCCTTTCCCAGATGGTGTGGTGCTCGTGGACCCTGACTACTTGAAGGACCGCAAAGGTACTGGCCTGAGTGTGGGGGGGCGCCCAGGGGCGGTCAGGGTGGCCCAGTGGGGCGGGCTGGCCCTGACACGGACCCCGGAGAGACAGAGGGCCAAGACAAAGAGGGAAGTCGGGTTCAGGCAGGTTGGATGCTGCTGGGGACTGGGGGGCTGGGGCTGGAGGGGCTCCTGACGGCCCCACCTTGCCCTCCCGCGCAGTGTTTGTGACCCTCACCTGCGCCTTCCGCTATGGCCGCGAGGACCTGGACGTGCTGGGCTTGTCCTTCCGCAAAGACCTGTTCATCGCCAACTACCAGGCCTTCCCCCCCGTACCCAACCCACCGCGGCCCCCCACCCGCCTGCAGGACCGGCTGTTGAGGAAGCTGGGCCGGCATGCCCACCCCTTCTTCTTCACAGTGAGGACGCCCCTCACCCTCTGCAGGGCAAGGGGTCTGGGACTGAGTTGGGGGAGGGGGCTGAGGCACCTGTTCCGGGCAGATCTGGAAGCAACAATGAGGAGGAAGCCCTAGACCACCCCCCCCCCCGCCACCTGCAGGGTCACCCTTGTCTCTGCCTCCTCCCTGGGGCCCCTTCCTTCTTCCTCTCTCACCTCCCGGGACTTCTCATCCAGCCTCTTAGTGGGAATTGGGAGAAAGATTTGGGGGCTCTCTGGAAGAACTGAAGCCTCTCCTTGCCTCCCCACAGATCCCCCAGAATCTGCCCTGCTCTGTCACTCTGCAGCCAGGCCCCGAGGACACGGGGAAGGTACAGCGGGAATGGGTCCGAGGGCTCAGGGGACAGAACGGGCTCCATTAGGAGCCTGGGACACACCGAGAGGGGGGCTGTCAGGGAGAAGCCAGATGGGACATGCCCCCAGTGGAAATATGGTTTATCTGTTCACGGGTGACTCTGGGCATTCACGGGTGAGTATAGGGGCTCACCTTGCAGACAGGACCGACGCTCTGCCAGGTACTGGGTCTTTGGGAGGCAGAGGACGAAGCCCCAGGCCCTGCACTGCTCAGAGCAGACCGCGATGGGGCAAGAGTCCCTGACGAAGGCGAGGGGAGAGGAAAGGAAGGGCGTGGGGGCCGGGCCCTTGTGTAAGATGTGACCTTTTCTCCTCCCGAGGCCTGTGGAGTAGACTTTGAGATTCGAGCCTTCTGTGCCAAATCACTAGAAGAGAAAAGCCACAAAAGGTGAGGGAAGCAAGCTCCCCTGTGCTGTGACTGTCCCCCCCCCCAACTCCCTGGAGCCCCAGGCCCAGGGAAGGCGGTGGTGGGGGTCTGGGTGTCTGAGGACCGTCCCCTCCCACCCCTCCTCCCCACCCCCAGGAACTCTGTGCGTCTGGTGATCCGAAAGGTGCAATTTGCCCCAGAGAAACCCGGCCCCCAGCCTTCAGCAGAAACCACACGCCACTTCCTCATGTCCGACCGGTCCTTGCACCTTGAGGCTTCCCTGGACAAGGAGGTGGGGTGCAGGAGGGTGACGCAGGTGTCCCCGTGCAGGGGGACCCTGGGGGAGGGCTGAAGCCACCTGCCAGGACAGTGTTTTTAAAGAAGGCCGCCTCAGCTGGGCGTGGGCGTGGGCTTGGGTTTAGAGGGAGACCAAGCCTCCGGGTCTGCGCGGGGGGAGGGCGGACGCTAATAATGGGACCAGCGCAAACAGATCGCGTTAACTTGACCCCCTCCCCTCGAAAGCTCTACTACCACGGGGAGCCCCTCAGTGTCAACGTCCACGTCACCAACAACTCCACCAAGACCATCAAGAAGATCAAAGTCTCTGGTAGGAGGTGGGGGACAGAAGGGGTCTTGGGGGCGGGACTTGGTGCCCACGTGGCTCCTGGTGTGATCTCAGCCCAGGGACACCCCCCAGTGCAGGAGGCCACCCCAGAATGTGACACAGCCCCGGGGGGGGCAGCCTGCGCTCCCAGCACGGCTGCTTGACCCCACCCCACCCCACAGTGAGACAATATGCGGACATCTGCCTCTTCAGCACTGCCCAGTACAAGTGTCCCGTGGCTCAGATCGAACAAGAGTGAGTAACACGACAGCCCGGTGCCCACCTCGGGGCAGAGGAGCCGCCCTGGGTGAATGTGAGGTGGGGATCGAACCGTCCCCACCTCCAAGGGCATCCCCTGCATGGGCAGCTGGCTCTGAGCTGCTCATTTTCTTGAGCGGCTTGTTACCTGGGGACCCAAACGGAGCCAGGCTAGCGGCAGGGGAGAAGCCGCTGGGGGCGGGAGCGACCTCCTCACCGGCCCGCCCCCCCAGAGGCTCGTTCTCCTGTCCCCACTCCCCAGTGATCAGGTGTCCCCCAGCTCCACGTTCTGCAAGGTGTATACCATCACCCCGCTGCTCAGCGACAACCGGGAGAAGCGAGGTCTTGCCCTGGATGGGAAGCTCAAGCACGAGGACACCAACCTGGCTTCCAGCACCATGTGAGCGCGGGCTGGATGGGGGCGTGGGGGGCCAGCTGCGTGTCAGGCTCTGTCCTAGGCGCCAGGGCGCCATCGGGGCCAGAACGGACCAGAGATTCTAGAGGGGGAGGACAGACAGATCAACGGTGAAAGGCACAGCATGCCGAGTGATGAGCGTGGAGAAGAAGCAAGGCAGAGGAGGGAGGGGTGCACCGGGGGCGGGCAGCGTGTGTGCACTTTAAAGAGGCCAGCGGGGGGAGGCATCCCCTGGGCCTGAGTTCTGAGGAGGGACCCAGAGTAAGTCGGTGACACGGCCACACGAGGAGCTCTCCGGGCGGAGGGACCTGCAGGCGCAGAGGTGGCCCAGGCCCGGTCTCTGCGAGGACGCGTGGGAGCAAGACGGTGCCGGGCTGTCGGGTCACAAGGACGACGGCCTCTACCGCGAGACAGGAGAAGCCACGGGCGGGGTCCGTGCAGAGCGGCGCCGCGGGGAGCTGGGCCGTGAGAACAGCACAGCCCACGCTGCTGGAGGCCACTGCCCCGGGATGTGGTCCCCAGAACCTCACGGGAGCCGCAGGGGTGGGCCGTGGTCTAGCTCCCGCCTCGTTGCAGCGTGAAGGAGGGCGCCAACAAGGAGGTGCTGGGCATCCTGGTGTCCTACAGGGTCAAAGTGAAGCTGGTGGTGTCTCGCGGCGGGTGAGCGTGCGGGGCAACGTGGGGCGCGGGGGTCTCCTCCGGGTGCGGCGGTGTTGGCCCTTCATGCGCCCCCCCCCCACCGCAGGGACGTCTCTGTGGAGCTGCCGTTTGTTCTTATGCACCCCAAGCCGCACGACCACATCACCCTCCCCAGGCCCCAGACAGGTGAGCGCAGCACCCACCCCAAGCCCCCCGCGAGACGGTCTGAGGCCAGGCCAGGGGAGACATGCTGGTGCGTGAGGCACCCACCCACCCACCCCCTCTCCTCGCCTCAGCTGCTCCTGACACAGATGCCCCTGTGGACACCAACCTCATTGAATTTGATACCAAGTAAGAGACTCCTCCCCCGCCTTCAACCATTGACCTCTGTGGGCAGAGACCCCTGCAGCCCCCGAATCTGCCCTCGCCCCTGGGCAGGGAGGGCTGAAGCACCGAATGCCGACGGCGTAGCCTTCCTCCCGAGGCTGCCCGTCACCTTCTCACCGACGCACCCAGTCCCGATGCAGCTCTTGACACCCCTGTGTCTGGGAGGGGAGCGGGGGGCCGGGATGAGGGTCTGGAGCCCGCACCTCACCCCCCTCCTCCACCGTCAAGCTACGCCACGGACGATGACATCGTGTTCGAGGACTTCGCCCGGCTTCGGCTGAAGGGGATGAAGGACGAGGACTACGAGGACCAGTTCTGCTAGGAGGAGGGGGTGGGCGCTGCTGGGGGAGGGAGGGCCCCCGCCTCTCCACTCCGCAGCTCCCCAGCCCCCCTCCTCCCCTCCCTCCCTTGCCAGTCGCCCCCAGACACGCACTGGACCCATCTCTTGTAGAACATGGGCATTACTCTTTGGACTCCAGCTGTGCCTCTCCCCAAACCCCCCAGAGGGTGGCAAGCTGTGTTCAAACCTAAATTTTGCAAGGGGGTTGCTGAAAAGACAGTAGGGAAACTGGGGAGAAGGAACCCCCGCATTCAACCTCACACCAACAGCTTCCCTTTCCTTCGAGAGGAGACTCTCTTCTGCAGGGGGGCGGGGGGGCAAGGCCATTTCTTTGTTTCTGAGCATAAAGAAGAAATTAAACCTTTTAATAGGCGGAAGTGTCTGTGTCTTCTGTGCGGGGCTGAAGGGGCAGACGGGTGCCCATCCGGGACCGTCCTCTGGGGGCTGAGCACCCGGCCAGCCAGCTCGCCGGGCCCAAAGGTGGTCAATCAATGTCCCAACCACTGGGCTGTCGTCCGCTCCAAGGTAAACACTGGAACTTGATGTGCTCGGTCCAAGCTCAAGGGTAGAGTTTGGGTAAAGCCACAGTCCGCTGACGCATTTACGGGGGAAACAGCCACTCACTTCCCCGTAGGCTGGCCGGCTCTTCCCTCTCGCCGCGGAAACACATGACCGGGTGGTGACCTGCTGTGGCCGGGCGCTCGGCTCGGGCTGCCCGTTCCTGGGGCTCGGTGGGAGCCCGGCGGCGGCCCTCCTGGGACAGAAGCCACGCGATGTTCTGTGGGGCCACAGGGAGTCACGCCTATACGGGCAAGTCCCAGAAGCAAGGTCCCACCGCGGCTTCTCGGACGTTCACAGGCACTCCCGGACACTGGGCTACGGGGTGGGAGCGACCCTCCACGGACCCGGCTTGCCCCCCTCCCCGCACTCCCACTCCTGTCGCCCAGATTTCGTCTCCTGCGTCTCGTAAGGCTCATTCGTTCCCTCCGTGAGCAGCCCGCCCTGGAGTCCCTATCATGTGCCGGGCATCGTGGAGGGACATCGCAGTGACCAAAGCCACCGTTAAATCGTTCCCTAATGACCTCGTGACGGTATCCCTGCTCCAAAGGAGAAGTCCGGGGGCGAGGAGAACGCACGTCAGGGAGTGCTGACCTAGGCTGGGGTTTGGGGAAGATGTCCCGGAGGGAGGGACCTTGGAGCAGAGAACTGGCAGATGAGGAACGGGTTGGAACCTTCTGGGTGATGGCAGCACCACGTGTGAAGGCAGGAACGGGGCAGAGACAGCAAGGCAAAGTAGTTCCAGATGGGGCCGAGGGGGCCTTCGGTCTCTGGCGCCTGACATCTAATTAGACCGCTGTTTACCCACGGATTTAAGCGCTGCCAAAATGCCAGGGACCTTGCTCGCCCCTACCCCACACAACCTGGTCTTTGCCACACGGACGAACTGCCGGTATCCTTCTGATTCCCGTGAGCCTGCTCCTTGACGGCTGAGCTCTCGGCCCACGGAGCTCAGCAGGTTTTCAGGTGAATCAGAACCGCCCCCCCCCCAGCCGAGGGGGGGGCAAGATAAAGACACACCGTCCCAGGCTCTACCTTCCTGGATTCTGATCCAGCAGGTCCCAGGAAGAATCCACGCATCTGGATCTTGAATTAGCACACAGTTTGAGAAACGATGTCTTTTTTTTTTTTTTTTTTAGCTTTTCATAAAGTTTTTAATGTATTTAAGAAGGTAAAACATGCACATGGTGGAAAGAAAAAAAAAAAAATCCAAACCGTATACGACAGTGAAAAGAAGGCTCCCTCCTGCCCCTGATCCCCAGCCTCCCATTTCTCATTCCCAGAGGCGACCACTAGCACCAATCCCGTTATTCTTCTTCCAAAGATACTGGTTGGACTCAGTCATATCTGTACGAGTATATTTCCCCCTTATTTTGAATAGATACTAGCATGCTATGACCACTCTCCTATACCATGCTTTTCCCCTTAATGGTGCATTCTTTTCTGTGTCGACACATACTGAACTTCCTTATTCTTTCAATGAGCTGCATGACTTTGCATTCCCTGGATGGCATTTATTTTTACCAGTCTCCTGCCGAGAGACTTGTGAAGGGGGTCTGCTCTTTTGCTAATGCAAACACCAGTATAATCATTATCCCCAAAGACAGGTCTTTTTTGCACACAGGAACTAGATCTGTAGGACAAATTCTTTTTTTTTTTTTTTTTAAGGATTTTATTTATTTATTTGAGAGAGAGAGAGTATGAGTGTGAGTAGGGGCAGGGTCAGAGGGAAAAGCAGACTCCCCGCTGAGCAGGGAGCCCGATGCGGGGCTCGATCCCAGGACCCTGAGATCATGACCTGAGCCGAAGGCAGACGCTTAACCGACTGAGCCACCCAGGAGCCCCTGTAAAACAAATTCTTAAAAGCAGACTTGCGGAGTCAAAGACCGTGAGCATCTTTAGGATCCCGCCAATCAAGCAGGTGAAATATGGTATCATCTGAGTTTTAATTTGCATTTGTTTGATTATGAGTGAGGATAAAACCTGATTTATTTGGGTACTTTTTTTTTTTTTAATGTACTCTAAGGGCTCTTTATATACTAAAAAAAATGAGCCCTTTGTCATATATTTTGCAAATATTTTTCCTGGTCTGTCATTGTCTTCTGAATTTGTTTCTAGGTTTGTATTTTTGGGGTTTTTTTGTTTTTTGTTTTGGTGTTTTCACAGAGGAAAAAATCACATAACGTAAAATGAACCATTTGAAACTGTTCAGTGGCATTTAATTCATCCACAGTATTGTGCAGCAACCCCCCCAGTTGCCAAGCATTTTGCTCCTGATATTTTTAATAATTCACTTTTTAAATTTTACGGTACACAATCATAATCACTTTTTTAATGGCTTCTTGGTTTGTTTCGTATGTGTGTGTGGCCAAGCTCTTCGCCCATCTGTTCCCTGGCAGTTTGGCGCCTTTCTTTCCAGACTGAACTCGCAGCCCACCTTGCCCACTGCAATCCCATCCTCTAGCTCAACTGCTCCTCCTTTCAAACACCTGCTCTCAGACCCCAGCCTGGGCTCCGTCCCACCACCACCCTGCCGGCCCCGCCTGCCTGGGTTAGCAAGCGCCACCACAGAAAAATCACACAACTGGACATATCTGTTCATTCAACAAGTAATTTTTAACACATCCTAGGTGTCAACACTGGGCGCTGGGTATACATTTGGGGCCGTTGCCCCTAAAGGGTCTCTAACCTCAGCTGGGCCCTCAATTCCTGATGAGCCTTTGTCCCTTGCCATCTTCCTGGCCACCTCCCTCACCACCTTGCAAACCTTCCTGTTTTTCACAGAGATGAGGCTGCGAGGGACGAATGATTTCAACTTCCCACCTCCTACCCACAAACACCAACATGGATCCCAATTCTCTCTACAACCAAGGTCAAGCCGCCTCCTCCCGTTCAAAGCTCGTCCCTCCACCTGTGCTCAGGTCTCTCCCCTCCCACCTCCTCTGAGACCCCGATTCATCCCACCACCCGCCTCTCTTCAACCTCTGCCTCTCTCCACTGGTTCTTCCTCCATGGTGCATAAACCCACGCAAGTCTCTTCTACTCGAGGAAGGAAGGAGACCAAAGAGAAGACACTCCTCCACACCCAGGTCTCTTCCACATGAAGTAAATCTCTACTCGTTTCCTCTCTACCACTCGCTTTTAGTGCGTTGTTATTTTCAAAGTCATATATGCACACGGTGTAAGGGGTCGGACACAATCACAAGGCCTATACCCCACCCCTCTCCAACTCCCTTCTCCTCAGAGGCAGCTACCTTCACCTCCTTCAGATGTTCCTTCTGGTATTGACCTCCATATTCCCAAACAACCTGCTCACTTTGCTACTTTCTGATTTTCGTCTTAAGCATCTCTGGCGTCCTGCTATAGGAGGGGAAGACTGAGCTCCCTTCTGCCCCTCTCCCCCACAGCAGAATACTTTCCCTCCTGCCCCCGGCATCCCATACTCCCAAGAGAATGGTATCAATGGAGGTTAGATCAATATTCAATATTTATACTTTCAAGCCTACGCGTAAGTTATCCAGAGTCGTCCTGATGACCTTTCTCTTCTAGCGCCAGGTGGTCTTCCCTGAATCACTATCATTTTAAGAACCTGTTTATTCTCTGAGTTCATCCCTAATTTTGCCCTATACTCTCCTCGGAAAGTCTATATATGCACTCATTACGTTCCAAACAAAGCAGATGTTCCTCTCTTCCATCTCCGTGAAGAAGAGAAGCCTTCTAAGATCTGCTCCATTCCGATCTCGATGTTCTTCATGCCTGTCACCCTGCATCTCCCTTCACCCCATGTTCTTGTTCACCTCTCTGCAGCACCAAAGCCTTACTCAGTCTCTGGATCCCGCAGCTTTCTCTTCTGGGTCTACATCTAATAACCTCCTGAGAAAGGGAACTCGGCAGAAAAATTTGCCACCTCTGGACATACCAAAATGTCTTTATTCCATCTTCGTTTTGGCTGTTGTGAGAGTCCACGTCTCCCCTAAAATCTCTTCCTCCGTGCTGTGAGGACAGAAGCTGGCCACCTAGGTAAGGACTGGATTTCCCAGAACCCCGGAGTTGGGTGAGACCATACGACTGTTTATTCAGTGGAATGTGAGTAGGAATTATCTGGGCTACTTCCTAGTCAGACCTCTGAGCCAGGGTCTGCCTCCCCCACGTTTCCTCCTCCCCCTCGCTGCCAGCTACGACAGGGCAGACGGCGCTGCCCCAGAGCAGTGTCCCTCAGAGGTTACTGTGCATTCAGATCACCTGCGGAACTTCAAACCCAGATACCGATTCGGAAGATGTGTGCGGGGCCTGCAATTTTGCAGGTCTAGCGAGCTCCTAGGTAATGTCAGTGCTGCTGGCCTCCAGACCACAGGTTGGAGTACAAGACCCTACAGGATGGTAGAGTTGCACTGCTCGTCTTGATCTCTGGATGATCTGTGCAGCATGCTGAATTACCCGTGCTGGGCTGTTCCATGGGGGAAAAAAATTAAGTTCTATGTTGTTGAATTGTTGCATTTTTAGCCTTCATCCTAGCACAGCTGGAGTACAGAATTCCAGATTGGAACAACTCAGTAAATAAACTTTCATTTAATCCCTATTTTCTTTGTTTTTTAAGTTGTTGTGTTGTTGTTTTTTTAAGTTTATGTATCCATTTAAATAATCTCTACACCCAATGTGGGGCTCAAACTCACTACCCGGAGATCAAGAGCCACACACCCTTCCAACTGAGCCAGCCAGGTACCCCTAATCTCTGTTTTCAATACAACTGTGCCCTGGGTGGGCCTTTCACACCAAAGACCCTCTGTTTTCCATCTTCAACAAAGAAACCTCCAGGAATCTGATGGGTTGGGATTGAGTGGTTGCACAGATGTATGCATTAAAGGAGAAGATCGGGGGGGGGGGGGCGGGAAGGGGGGGTCTAACTACTTCAAATAATCCTCCTCATTTTAGGGGCGCCTGGGTGGCTCAGTTGGTTAAGCGACTGCCTTCGGCTCGGGTCATGGTCCCGGAGTCCTGGGATCGAGTCCTGGGATCGAGTCCCACATCGGGCTCCCGGCTCAGCGGGGAGCCTGCTTCTCCCTCTGACCCTCTCCCCTCTCATGCTGTTTCTCTCTCTCTCTCTCTCTCTCTCTCAAATAAATAAATAAATAAAATCTTTAAAAAAAGAAATGAATCCTCCTCATTTTAGTATCACCTACACCCCAGTGTACATGATGCCACTAATTTAAGAGGAAATCAAGTTGCTTTTAAGCTTTCTCCACTGCTGGCTTCATTACCACTTCACTACTAAATCAGTCACCACTCACTCTTCTGTCTTCCAGCTTCTATCTAAAGTTTTGCTATTAATTCCCCCCTCTCTCTCTTTGACCCCTTAATAAAATCCCCTTGTTCTTTGATTAGGATTTTAAACAGGAGTGAAGTTGAATGCCAGGTCCCTCAAGCCGAACTGAAAGTCTCCATTCATTTGCTAACCGTGTGCCAAGTGGCTTCATTCCCCTTCTTCCAGGGGGCGTCCAGATTGACCTCTCCAAAGAAGGTAAACCTGGCCATAACACACTTCCTGAAGACCCTTCAAGGGCTTTCAGAACGAGGTCCACATTACTCCGCTCGCAAGCCTTTTCCTGATCTGGCTCCCACTCCAGCCTCGCCGCCGCCACGCTGCCCTCGCTCCGCTCAGACTTGAATCCCCGGTGGTACCTGGGCGGCGCCAGGCGCCCCCTCCCCGGCCCCACGCCCTTGCCCTTGCCTGCGCCGCTCGCCTTTTCCGCTGCAGCCTCCCGTCCACCTGGCTGACCCGCAAGACTCGGCTCCAGCAGCGCTGCCCCCCAGAACCCTCTCTCTGGGCTCCTGCAGGTGCACCTGCGCACGCCCCGGAGGAAAGGTCGACCTCGCTGTCACCCGAGAGCCCAGCCCATTCGTGCCGCATCCCCAGACCCGGCCGCGTAACCGGCGGCCCGAAAGGGAAGGGGGGAGGCCGCAAGGAGCCAGCTCCGGGGAACACGCTGCTAAGCCTGGGTGTCAGCGGGGCTCCCGCCCGGGAGGAACAATGTAACACTCACCGATCCGCCCGACCCCGGGCCCCGACGGACGGCGGAGCGGGGCGGGCGGCGGAGCACCCCAGGGCTCCCATCACCCTCACCCAGCACCAGCAGCCGCGCGGGCACTTCTCGTAGAAGACACCAAGTCGAGGCCCGGGCGCGTCGCGAAGGCGCGAGGGGCTGAACGACCTCCAGCGCTTCACCACCGCCTCTTCCCACCGGTGGTCGCGACGGGGCGGCGGCGGCGCAGACCGGGGCAGGCGCTCGACACCCTGGGAGTTGTAGTTCCCCAGGCCAGGCAGCGCCGAGCATCCTGGGAACTGTAGTCGCAGCCCCGCGCGCGCCCTGCGCAGGCGCAAGCCGACCGCCGCTTCCGGGCTCAAGCGACGCGCTTCGCGGAGGGAGAAGAACCCCGTGGATTTGGGGGGGGGGCGCGCCCCAGAGCCGCGATGGCCACCTACAGCTTGGCGAACGAGAGGCTGCGCGCCCTGGAGGATATCGAACGGGAAATCGGCGCCATTCTCCAGAACGCAGGTTCGGACCCAACGGCCCGCACCTGCGCTCGCGGCGGTGGGGGGGGCGCCAGGGGCCCGCGGGGGCAGCCCCGGCCCTCTCCGGCCAGCCCGGCCCTCTCTTCGCCCCCGCAGGTACTGTGATCCTGGAACTGTCCAAGGAAAAAACCAACGAGCGGCTCCTGGACCGGCAGGCGGCGGCCTTCACGGCGTCGGTGCAGCACGTGGAGGCGGAGCTGTCGGCTCAGATCCGCTACCTCACCCAGGTGCGTGCGGCGGCAGGTGCTGCGCCCCGCCCCGCGCCCCGCCTTGCCTGGGCCTGCGGCAGCCCTCGGGGCGGGGCTTTGGCCCTGGGGGCCGGCGGGGACACCTTTGCAGAACCCCGCCTTCCAGGGTCGGCCTAACGCTCCGGAGGGAAGATACTGAAGGCGGCCTTGCCGGCTTCGCTGGCGCGCATCCCGGGAGCCGCAGGCGGGGAAGTCCTGGGAAGGGACTGGTGACCAGTGCCAAAGCCGCAAGACCGTGCGCTCAGAACCTTGACCTGACCCCGGGGCCTGGAGCGGCAACGCCCCGAGAAAAGGGACAGGGTTGAGAGGGTTCTCGGGTCTCTTACAACAGCACCCTTCATTAAGTTTTTACAACGTGCCAGACTCTGCTTTATCTAATCCTGCAACAGCTCTAGGAGGTAGTCAGGCGAACCCACGTTTTACAGGTGAGTTAACAAGTTCAGGGATTTACCTTGGGCCACCCAGCCACCTCCCATGTGCCCGAACGGCTTCACATTCGGGGAAGAAACGAGACAAGAGACCTGACGCTCTCTGGGTTGGGGAGCTGGGTAAGGGAAGGGGTGGGTCACTGATCCATGCGAATGTCCTGCAGGTGGCCACGGGGCAGCCCCATGAGGGCTCCAGCTACTCTTCGAGGAAGGACTGTCAGATGGCCCTCAAGCGGGTGGACTACGCTCGCCTCAAGCTCAGCGATGTGGCCCGAATCTGTGAGCAGTTGCTGGAAAACTAGGCCGACCAGGCAGAGCGACAACTTGGAGGAAGGCCACCACACAGCACCCGGGACAAAACCCGGAGACCTGTAGCGTGGGAAGTCAGGGCTGCCACATACCGGCCCTGCTGGGCAGAGCATCTGAGGACAAAGGGGCAGAAGGTGGGGACGGAGACACTTGGAGATCAAGCCGGCCCGCGACGATGCCCTGGCCCTTCCAGCACGTACACACCACGAAAGTGCTGACAAGCTCAGACAGAGAGATTCAGACTCCCAGCACACTTTCTCAAACACCCCGTGTCCCTACCCCGGGCTTCTGCAGACTGGACCAATGAAGACACATTCTTCTTCCCATTGAAAGAGATAAAAGAAGAACTAGGGGTTTTAATAATAAAAACAACAGCCATGAAAACAAGGAGCTCAGACTCTCACTGGAACATATGTGGGTGATACGGGGATTGAGGAAATAAAACCAAACTGCATGGTGCCTACTGAGGAGGGAGGAAGAGGGGGAGGGCCCAGGCCTGCAGTGGGGAGTCGGGGGAGGAACAGCCGGTGTGTGAAAACAGACTGGGTGGGACAAGGGGGCGGTGGGACCCTGGGCGGAGGGGCTGAAGCCAGGAACCATGGTAAGGGGGCAAGGGCATGAAGCCAATGTCTGCAGAAAGAAGAGTCAATAATTATAAAAATAATCTTTAGTAATTAAACACATAATTTGTCTAGGGTATTACAGTAAAAGGTAGATTTCACATTATAGCATAGGAAAAAAACCCAGGAAGGGTCTACAAGAGGGCAGTGGCCAGATGTTTGTATATTAAACATCAAATAGCTATGGAATGCCAATTAGGTGCTAGAGATTATTTGAATATGTTAATTACAGGCATATGGGGCTGAATAAATCTCAGCGTCTACCCTTATGGGTTTCCACTCTCAGCTCAGGCTTTGGAGTCTGATGCTACGGGTATGTAAGGAAGCTGCAAATCTGGAAAAGATAAGGAAATTAAGATATCAGCTCTGAGATTAAGGAAAGTTGGGGGAACGGCTTGAGCTGGGGAATTAGACCCCAAAACATCACCCATACAACCTAGTACAGAGTAGGTGCTCCGTAAAGATCTGTGAATTAAATGAATGGCCCCCACCTCCCTCCACAGGTTCATCTCCCCCCTAGCCTGCTCCAGCTGCCATCTTACGTTGCTCCAAGCCCTGCCTGGCTCTGAAGGTCAAGCACGGGTCCCTGGGCCTGTGACGGCTTCCTTTCCTCCCTCCCTATTCTGTAAATGTCCCTAGCTGACACTTCTCATGGCCTATGGTCCACGGTGCAGACAGCCTGCATAACTGTCTGCCTGGGGCAGGTTTCCAGCCACCCAGGAGCTACTGGGGGCAGGATCCCTGCCAAGGAAGCTCCGAGTCCCCGAGAGAGGGGCCCGGAGGCCCCGCTTACCTGGAGACTGCGGCAGCGAATGGGCCATCCTCTTGCACAGCACGTACAGGAGGACGATGGTGAGAATGAAGATGATGGCCAGGAGGGACAGCACGGGCACCATGGCTGAGGTCCCTGCTGAAGGCCCCACTTTTTCTTCCAGCTGTTTATGCCTTTCCCCAGCCTCAGGCCCAGCCGCCAGACTGCGGCCCTCAGTGGATGTAGCGATTTCATTGGCACGGGTGAGATTTTTGTCCAAGGACCGTGCCCCGGCTGGAAGCGTGGGCTGCACAGTAGACTGCGAGGCGGGTGGCGGGTACGTCTGAGCAGGGGAGCCCGTGTCTGAAGGTGCCCTTTGTGTGGGCTCAGGAACCTGGGTGCTGGGAGGAGGTAAATGCTCCTGGGGGGCCGCACTGCCAGAGTTAGCGTATCCACATTCTGGAGAGGCGAGAAGTAAGGAATCATGGCTATGAGATGAGGGTACCAAGTGAAGAAGCAGTCCAAGAAGAGGGCAGACCGCAACAGGGAAGCACTGGGACAAGCACTGGGAAGGGCATGCCTCCTGAACGGGGAGGTGGAGAGACCTGGGTTGGAAGCCTGGCTCTGCTATGGGGCGGGGGTCGCCGCACGACCTTGTCCCTTGTCTCTTGGCCTCCCTGGGACGCCTTTCTTCCAGCTCTGGAGCAGGGAGGATTTTCCTACCAAGGGCCACAGTAGCTAGGAGGATTAAGGGAAAGCCTGCGTGTAGGTCTCTAGCCCACAGGGCAGTCTGTGCGCCCCGGAAGCTACACCAGACAATTTCTGCTGCGACAGGTTAGAACCTTTTGTGTATTTATTTTAGGAGAAAAATGCAGCCGGCGCATCAGCTTTGTGACTTCACAGACGTTATTGCTTTAGGACAAGTTGCTAGTTAAGTTTTTTAAAAGTGGCATGTGTACACACAACAATTTATTCGTCTTATTGTATGTAAATTTTACCTCAAGAGAGGAAAAGCACAATAAAGTATTGAGCTCAATAATGCACATGCTGGGGCGCCTGGGTGGCTCAGTTGGTTAAGCGACTGCCTTTGGCTCAGGTCATGATCCTGGAGTCCCTGGATCGAGTCCTGCGTTGGGCTCCCTGCTCTGCAGGGAGTCTGCTTCTCCCTCCGACCCTCCCCCCTCTCATGTGCTCTCTCTCATTCTCTCTCTCTCAAATAAATAAATAAAATCTTTTAAAAAAATAAAATAAAATAAAATAATGCACATGCTGAAATGCTTGGGGATGAAGTGTGGTCATGCCTGCAGCTAACTTGGAAATGCATTGCAAAAATAAGGTGGGGGCGCCTGGGTGGCTCAGTCCAGGAAGCATCTGCCTTCAGCTCAGGTCCTGATCTCAGGGTCCTGGGATGGAGCCCCCTTTCGGGCTCCCTGCTCAGCTGGGAGTCTGCTCCTCCCTCTGCCCCTCTTCCCCCACCCCCCGACCCCCGCTCCTGCACTCTTTTCTCTCTCAAAATCTTTTTTTTTTTTAAGATTTTATTTATTTATTTATGAGAGACAGAAACAGAGGGAGAAGCAGGCTCCCAAGGAGCGGGAAGCCCGATGCGGGACTCGATCCCAGGACCCTGGGATCATGACCCGAGCCGAAGGCAGACGCTTAACCATCTGAGCCACCCAGGCGCCCTCTCTCAAAATCTTTTAAAAACAATAAGGTGCATTGATGACGCATAGGATAGACAGATGGGCGTGGACTAAAGCAAATATAGTTAAGGCGCTGTAAAACTTGATATTGTAAAATATAAGTTACATTTGCTGTATTTTGTACCTACCACATAAAAGATGTGAAATACAAATATATAAAAGCCAAATACCGTAGAATCTAGGTGGTGGGCCTATAGATGTTCCCTGAACAATTCTTTCAACTTTTGTGTAAGTCTTTAAATTTCCATAGTAAAATACTGGAAAACAAAAGTAGTGCCTTGCTTTCAAGAAAAAAATAAGAGCACAGGAGGAACTGGCAAAAATCAGGACAGCGATGGTTAGCGACATTGGGTGAATTGGGGTCTAAGGAACTTGGGCTGGCACGAGGTACAATAGGAACGCGAGGTGTCACGGGGAGGGGACAGAGGCAAAGAAGATTGTAAGGGGCAGACCGCTGCCCTGGAGACAGACCCCAGGGAGGAGGGGGAAAGTCGTACCTTTGCGATCAAAGCAGCTCATCAACTGTTGAACCCACGAATCTTTGCTGCCCCCACACACACTCCGGGCCTGTAGCTGGAACCTAGGAAGGAAGAAAGTGGTCTCAGCTCTTTCCTCGTTCCAAAGATGTGAAGTCACTGCCAAGAGCCAGTGAGCCCTGTCTGCCCAGACTGGGAAATTCCCAGGTATGTGGGAAAGGGAAAGCAAGGTATGGAGAATTTCGGGGCGAACGGAATCCTGGGAGGGGGCTAGGTCCCCCCAGGAGTTCCAGGTGGAGCAGCGAGGGTCCTGGAGGCCCCCAGAGGCGTGGCGCTCCCAGGGCTCGGGGAGACTACCTGACGTAGGAATTACAGCGATCGTAGGCTCTCAGGTGTTTTCGGAGATGTGCCATGAACTCCGCCATCGGAGGGCGGCCGGAAGGAATCGCTTTGTGGCAGTAACAACTCCCGATGGCGCTGCCCTCGTTGCCGTCGCCTGGGGTGTGGGGCGCGGGGGCAGACACAGGTGGTCAGCGCAGGTTCCCCGCCCAAAGGGCGCCCCCCCCGCTGGTACTGCGCCTCTTCCTTCGATCCGATCTGACCCCGGGCGCAACCCACACCTCACCCCCCCAAACACGGCCCGAACACGGCCCGGACCCGGGGGGGGGGTCCCCCAGCCTGTGCCCCGCCCCGGCTGCACGGGGACCCCGGCTCGCCACTTACTCAACGCGACCCCGCGGCCCTCGGCGCCCCCGTCCCTCCGCGGACTCGGGGACCCGGGGGCCAGCCCGGCCCCGGACGAACCTGGCGGAGGCAGCTGAGCCAGCACGAAGAGGAGCGCGAGGAGCCGGGCGCGCCAGGGCCGCCTCATCCCGGGGGCCAGGCGGGGCCGGGGCGCCGCGTCCAGCGCCATCGTCCCGGGCCCGCGGGAACGCCGGGCAGCCGCGGCCGTCGGCGGCGAGGCCCAGTCCCGGCCGGGGTGTGGGGGCAGCGCGAGCGGGCGGCGCCCTCCTCCCGCGCTCGCAGCGTCCGAACCGACAGCGCGGTCGGTCCTGCGGGCCCGCGCGCGTCCGCCGCCCGCCGCCGCGGGGAAAGGCCCGGAGGCGGGGCTCCGCGCCCCCGCGCCCCCCGTCGGCCCCGGGCCCCCGCGCCCCCCGCGCCCCCGCGCCCCCCGCGCCCCCGCGCCCCCCGCGCCCCCCGCGCCCCCCGTCGGCCCCCGGCCCCCCGCGCCCCCGCGCCCCCCGTCGGCCCCGGGCCCGCGCCGAGAGGACGCGGCCGGGCAGGTGCCCGCAGAGCGAAAGGCGAGCGCGGCGGCTGGGCGGGGCGCGCGGCGCGGGCGGCGCACCGCCCGACTCAGCCGGGCTCCGGACGCCGTCCGGCCGTCCCCAGCTCAGGCCGCAGGCCCGAGGACTCGCAGGCGCGGCCGCACGGCTCCTTCCACCCCCCGGCGCTTTCGCTTCCCGGCCGGGCGCCGGCGCCTCGGTCACATGCCCGGTGATGCCCCCGGGGAAGTCCGCGAGCGGCCGCAGAGCCGGCCCGGCCCCCTCCGCGCGAGCCGCGGGCGCACCCCCCGGGTCGCGGGCCGCCCGCGGGCTCCGGCCGCCCTGACGTCACGCCCGCCCCGCCAGCCCCGAGGTATTTACCTTCGAAAAGTGGCGGCGGCTGCAGGTACCGGAGTGGTGGAGCGGCCGGGAGGGCTGGGTCCGCGGGGGCTCCCCGCCGAACCGGTCCACGCCGAGCGGATGCCCCGGCTCCGGGTCCCTCCTCCCACACCCTACAGACGGATCCAAAACAATCCCTCCTCACCAAGCCCTTCCCCATAGGATTAGCCCTCCAAATCTAGTCACAAGTCAGACCCTACTTTGGAGGGGTTGAGCCTCAGATTAGGCCCAAATACCATCTCACTCCTGACTACTCGTCTTAAACCCTGCTTGCCCGCTTCCAAGCCCAGCCCCCGTTCTCACCCTGAACTCCCACCCTTAGCCCTGAAAAGTTGTCTCAGCTGGTAACACCCAGAGGCCCCACCGTAAGGGACCCTCAAAGCCACACACCCCCCCCATTTGGGGACCCAGCCCCAAACCCACCCCTACCCTCTCCCTCATCATACATCCCTTCCTCTGCTCAGTCTGGGCCCAGAACCTGCGGCCCTGAAGACATGGAGTTTGTGTCTGGATACCGCGATGAGTTCCTTGATTTCGCTGCCCTCTTGTTTGGCTGGTTCCGAAAGTTCGCGGCAGAGCGTGGGCCTGGGGGGGCCCGCCTTGAGGGCCGCTGGCGCCAGCTGGAGGCTCAGATCAGAAGGCTGCCCCAGGACCCTGCCCTTTGGGTGCTCCATGTCTTGCCCAACCGTAGTGTGGGCATCAGCCTGGGGCAAGGGGCAGAGCCAGGCCCTGCACCAGGCCTGGGGGTTGCCCGGTTCCTGGGAGATGAGCCCCCACTCCACCTGCGAGACCTAAGCCCCTATGTCAGTTTTGTCAGCCTGGAGGAAGGGGAGGAAGCAGAGGAGGAGGAGGAGGAGGAAGAGAATGGAGAGGAGGAGGGTGCAGGCATGGAGAAGGTAGATCCAGAGGAGGACGGGGAGCCAGCCCCCACCAGCAGGGAGTCCCCCCAGGAAGCAAACCCTCCAGGGGAGACAGAGGAGGCTGAGCAGGAGGCAGGAGGCGGCGAGGATGATTGCCGAGAGGACAAGGCAGAGGACGAAGCAGGCCCTGAGAGGAGGAAGGGGCGGAGAAGTGGTAAGAACCCCCGGCTGGGCCTTCTGCCCTTTGGAAGACCCCCTCTACCAGGAAGCCTAGCCAGAAGTCACCAACGGTGGCCTACAGGCCATTCTGGCCGGAAAAGCTGTTTTCATTGACCCACAATGTTTTTCGTTTTGTTGGGGTTTTTTTTGAGCCAACATTTTATACATTGACAGAAAAAAATTCCAGAAAGTTCCAGCAGCAGGTCCACACTTCTGCATGGCCACACACACCCCAGCACTGTGCAGCAGGCGTCCCCTTCCGATGAGGCATCCCCTCTCTACCCTCTCCCCTCGGTTCACTTAGTTGACCCGCCTAGCCCCTGTAGGCATGACGTTCATACTCCTGACCCTGACCATCTTTGCTGCTCCCCGCCCTTGACTTTTCCCTTCTTTCCCAGAGGCTGCCCCCCTGCACCTCTCCTGCCTCTTACTGGTGACCGATGAACATGGCACCCTCTTGGGCATTGACCTGCTAATGGATGGAACCCAGGGGAGCGCAGGCAAGGGCTCAGGGACCGAGAACCTGGTTCCTCGGGCCTATGCTCTCCTCTGCCACAGCATGGCCTGCCCCATGGGCTCCGGAGACCCTCGAAAGCCCCGACAGCTCACCGTGGGAGACGCCCAGCTGCATCGGTACAAAAACCTGGTATCTGAGGTTGGGGAGGCCTAGGGATCTGGACCCCTGAGCCCCCCAGCCTGACAGTCTCCACCCGCATTCAGAGACTTGGAGCGTCTGGTCCCGAGGCTGGGCGTGAAGTTAGCCAAGACGCCGATGCGGACGTGGGGTCCCCGGCCAGGCTTCACGTTTGCCTCCCTCCGGGCTCGAACCTGCCATGTCTGCCATAGGCATAGCTTTGAGGTGAAGCTGACACCTTGGTGAGCAGCCTGAAGGATGGAGTGAGAGGGAGGGAGACCCCCAACACTCGGGCAAGCAGAGAAAGCTGGCAGGGGGGGGTGCAGCAGAGAGAGTGAGGGTCCAGGAAGTCGATGGGGAGAAAAGCAAGCTGTTAGGACCAGAGTGAACAGAAAAGCAGACCGGATGATACATGGGCAGCTGTAGGACACAGAGCAGGCCGAGGACCTGCAGAGATGAACGCTGGGTGCCCACCACCCCCTGTGACCCCAGCCCCCAGTGTAGTGCCGTCTTGTACTGTGGAGAGGCTTGTCTCAGGGCCGACTGGCGCCGATGCCCAGATGACGTGAGCCACCGATTTTGGTGCCCGAGGCTTGCAGGCTTCATGGAGCGGGCCGGGGAGCTGGCAAGTCTGCCTTTTACCTACACTGCAGGTACCACAAGGCCATGGGGCTGGGGGGCGGGCGGGACTGAGACAGGGGTTTGGGACTGGGGCTGGGCGCCTGGGTGCAGGGTCCCGGGCCTGCAGGAGAAGTGCTTGGGGCCGGACCGCAGGAGCGAGGCCTGGATGCTGGGGGTTTAGGGCTGGGGGTCAGAGCCCTGGGGCTGAAGACAGGGTCTGGAGCTGAGGAGTGCGAGGAGCCTGCGTCCCTGAGAGAGCTCAGGGGATTCGGGAACAGGGGTGCATGCACTTGCTGCCCAGCTCTGCCGGTAACTGGGGACCATGAACTAATCACTTGAATTTTTAGACCCTCAGTTTCCTCACCTGTAAAATGAGTATATTAACCAACGCTAAACCCCGGGGAATTGTCACAAGGATCCCGTGGGTTCGGTGGTGTCTGCTCTGCTGTAGATGCTCGGAAATGTTGGTTCTCTCCAGGCCTAGAACCAGCTTCAGACCCAGGGGCCTTGAGAGAAACTGAGAAGAGCTATAGTCTGGGGTCCTAGCCCCCAGGCCCTCACCCCCTCCCCTCCTCCCTCTCCAGAGGTGACCAGTGAAACCTTCAACAAGGAGGCCTTTCTGGCCTCACGGGGCCTCACTCGCGGCTACTGGACCCAGCTCAGCATGCTGATTCCAGGCCCTGGCGCCCCGAGGCGCCCCCAAGGCAGCACGCCAGCCCTGAGCCTTCTTCTTGGTGGTTCGTGGGGCCTCTCTTCAGGCATGGGCCCCTTAGCGCAGAGGGAAGGATGGGGGAGAAAACGGTTGTCCGGGCCCCAGATAACCCCTCCACGTACACACCCAACTCCATTACCACCACCGTGGCCATTTCAGGCCTTTCCCCAATCCTCAAAGTAGTCACCACTGCCCACCCCATTGGGAAGCCCCATCCACAGGCAACCTCCCATTCCTCTTGCTGCAGCTCCAGGGAATACAGCTCCTTTGGAAGGAAGAAGGGGAAGTGCCGGGTGGGGGTCTCCCTGACCCCAGGATCCTCTTCTTCCTTCCATTCTTTCAGGAGATCCCTACCAGCTTCTCCAGGGGGATGGGCCCGCCCTGATGCCTCCTGTGCCCCCAGATCCACCCAGGGGCGTCTTTGGTGAGCTGGAGGGGCTCTGAGGGGGCAAGAGGTAGGGACAGGGACTGGAGTGCCAGCAGTCTGAACGGCTGAGAAAAAGGAGGCTCTTAGACTGGAAGGGGCTGCTGGGGTCCAGACCGGGGCCAGGTCCCAGTAACCCGCTCTCCCCAGGCTCGTGGCAGGATTACTACACGTGGAGGGGCCTCAGCTTGGACTCCCCCATGGCCGTGCTTCTCACCTACCCATTGACTGTGTATTACGTCATCACCCACCTGGTGCCCCAGTCCTGTAAGGAGAGCAGAGCGGCGGGACCGAGGGGGGCAGGGAGCTGGAGGGGGACAAGAGGAAGGGAAGACATCTTCTTAAGCGGCTAACTTCTCACCCAGTCCCTGAGCTCAACATCCAGAACAAGCAATCACTGAAAATCCACGTGGTGGAAGCCGGGAAGGAGTTCGACCTGGTCATGGTGTTTTGGGTAAGTCCCTCCAGGACCCGAGGTTGGGCATTTGGGTGTGGAGCTGGCCGTGGGGTGGGACCCTGATCTGTCCTCTCCGTCCTTCAGGAGCTCCTGGTCTTGCTCCCCCACGTGGCCCTGGAGCTGCAGTTTGTGGGTGACGGCCTGCCCCCTGACAGTGACCAGCAGCATTTTACCCTGCAGAGGGTGAGGGCTGAGGGGGGGGCGGTGTCCTCCTTCCTTCTGCTCTCCCCTTGCCTAGCGCCTCCCAGTGCCCTAACTTCCAGCGGTGTCTCCACTCTGCTCCTGGCTCCCCAGGATGGCCCAGAGGTGTCTGTCCGTCCTGGTTCCGGGGTATCCGCGCGGCTCAGCTCCAGCACTAAGGAGAAGGGGGGCCGCAGGGACCTGCAGATCAAGGTGTCTGCACGGCCCTACCACCTGCTCCAGGGGCCCAAACCCGACCTGGTTATCGGTAAGAGCCTGGGGTAGGAGTGTGGGGACCTGGGAGAAGGCCGAGGGCGACAGCTTCCGCACGCTCTCCCGCTCTCCCTCGGTCTGCAGGATTTAACTCCGGCTTCGGTCTCAAGGACACTTGGCTGAGCTCGCTGCCCCGGCTACAGGTGGGGGATGGGCCAAAAGGGACCTGCTCTCCCCTCCTGCCTCCACCCCACCCCCCTTCTCCGATAGCTGCTTCTTCCCACCCTCTGCTCCAGACCCGGGCGCGCCCAGGGCCCTCCCGACCCTGTCTGTCTGTCTGTCCGCCCGCCTCGTGCCTCCCTCCCTGTCTGTCTGTCTGGGTCCCCGGTTTCCACCCCCGTCTGCGCCCCTGGCGCCTGGGGAGGGGCTGGGCGGAGGCGCCGCTCCCAGAGTCAGAGGCCCGCGCCCACCGCAGTCCCTCCGAGTCCCGGCCTTCTTCACCGAGAGCAGCGAGTACGGCTGTGTGATGGACGACCAGACCATGGCGGTGGCCACGGGAGGGGGCACCAGCCCCCCGCGGCCCAACCCCTTCCGCTCCCCCTTTCGCCTGCGAGCCGCCGACAACTGCATGCCCTGGTAAGGACCCGCGACCCCCGCGGGGTCCTCCGCCCTCCGGGGACCCCCTCCCCGCGACCCCCGCCCCCGCGGGCCTCCACCCCGCGCGCACACGGCGGGCTGGATCCGGCTCCCACTCTCCCATCCCCAGGGGCGTGCTCAGCCCGCGCTGCCCTGCCCCCGACGCCCGCCCCCGCCCCGCCCCGCCCCGCCCCGCCCCGCGGAAGCCCCGCCCCTGAAGGCGCCACGCCCCCTCAGGTACTGCAACGCCTTCATCTTCCACCTGGTCTACAAGCCCCCGCAGGGGAGCGGGGCCCGCCCGGCGCACGGGCCCGCGCCCCCGGTCCCGACCCCCGCCGCGCCCCCCGCCCCCGCCCGCAGGCGCCGAGGGGAGAAGAAGCCCGGGCGGGGGGCCCGCCGGCGCAGGTGAGGGCTCAGGTGTGGCCGCCCAGCCCTCCCCCGCGCACCCCCGGGGAGGGAGAACCGAACCGCTCACGGCCCGGGGGAGGCCGGTTGGCGGAGCTCGCAGAGGTTAATAAAAGTACTTGTTTGGAACCAGCGAGTCACGGACGCTCTGGTTACACACCCATAACCGGGTCGTTAAACGTAGAGGGAGGAAAAGGACTTCGGGATAATTCATTTTCCTCCAGCTTCTTTCAGCCCCTCGACGGCTGTCCCCTCTTCCCTGCGGCTCCGACTCCGACCCTCCTTGGTGATCCCAAACTCCTGATGTCTGTGTGTAAGTCACTGTAGGCCCCAGTGACCCTCAGGGGCCCGCACCAAGGCAAGGCAAGACCCAGGGGCGGAGAGGGGCTTCTCACTAGCGGGCAGGGGACGCACACGAGCTCCTGGGGGCGCACAGGCCTTGGTTTAGGGGCCGCGAAAGGCCCCCAGCCACCCACCCGTGGGCCATCCTTGTCCTTCTCTCATTCCTCATATGCAACGAAGAACCAGCTTGTGCTGAGTCCACTGCGAATGTCACTCAAACCCAGTTCATGTCCGCTCTCACTGCCCACTCGACGAGTCCGGCAGAGAATTCTTTCTAGGACAGTACTTACCTGCTTAAATCCCTCCGGTGACTTTCCTCCACTCTTAAAATCCCCTGAGTGTGGGCTGGGTTTAGTGACTCAGTCATTAAAGTACAGAAAGGGAAGAGTAATGGAGAAACTTGGCAGACACCACCTTGACCAAGTGATGAAGGTTAATGAGCGTAAGTCACGGGGACATCATGTGCTCCCTGACATGTTGCAGTGAGAAAGCCACATCACCTTCCTATTCCTCCCAAAAATCCATAACCTTGGTCTGACCCTGAGAAAACAGCAGACAAATCCACACTGTGGGACAGTCTACAAGATGCCTGGCCGCTCTTCTTCCAAAGTGTTCCAAAGTCATCGAAGGCAAAAAAAGACCCAAGAAACTGACAGACTGGAAGGGAGTACGGAGACGTGACATCTAACTATGATGTGGTCTCCTGGATTGGATCCTGGGGCAGAAAAAGGACATTAGTGGAAAAACTGGAGGAGGAATCCAAATAAAATCTGTAGGGTTTAGCTAACGGTATGGTGTCGATGTTAATTTCTTCCTTTTGATAAACACGCTATATGTCTTACAGGTTCTTCTCTCCCTTTCTGTCATTCTCTTTTATTATAAATATTTTGGGCGTCGAAGTTTCCAAATACACACAAAAGCCCAGAGACTGCATCATGAATCTCTATGTACCGGTCTCTCAGCTTCAACAATTATCAACGTTTTTCTTATTTTATTATTACTTCTTGGGAATCTATGACATAAGAAGACACGTGTATATATTTGGTCTTGTCCAGGTTCCTGGCACAAGAGCTTCTGAAACCCTTGGAATCTCCTTAGTGAAAGGGGTCTTGGGTTATTCATCATAAGCTCTTCCAACCATACCTGTGTTTATGCTAATGAGGTGACCCTAGGTGGACCCCTACTGAACTTCACGATGGAGGCCGCCTGCTAGTAATAGTGTGAGTAGAGTGCTGGAATTTTCACCCCGCTTTTCAACCGCCAAGGAGTGGCGAGGGGGCTGGAGACTGAGTTAACCGCCAGGATTTCATCAATCACGCTTACGTAATAGAACCGCCATAAAAACCCCTAACCAATGGGGTTCAGAGAGCATCCGTGTTGGTGAGCACCCTGAGGTAGGTTCTGAGGGTGGTGCAGCTGGGGAGGGCGTGGGGGCTCCACCCCACCCCACTGCCCACCCCTTGCCCTGTGCATCTCTTCCATGTGCCCGTCCCTCAGTTGGTAATAGGAAACTGTGTTCCTGAGTGCCATGAACCATTTTAGTAAATTAGTGGACCTGCAGAGGGGGTCACGGGAACCCTCAATTTATAATCAGTCGGTCAGAAGTACCGGAGACCGGGACTTGTGCCTGGCATCTAAAGTGGGGACGGCCTTCGGGGATTAAGCTCATTCTGGGTACTTAGTGTGAGACTTGACTAAAGAGAACGACATCCTGGGTGCGAAGCCGCACTGGCCAAGCAATTTCTCGCCCCACAGGCCGCTATCTGGGCAGGTGGAGAATCGGTTGGTGTGGGGAAACATACACACACACACACACACAACTTTGGGTGTCAGAGTGCCGGTAGTAAAAACAGCTAATCGTTAGTGTCAGAAGTGAGCTACACTAGCCTTCGCTCACAGAAACATGTGGTTTGGGAAGAGAAAGGAGGAAGGGTAGGGGATGAGGAGCCCTTACCTTCCTGGGTGGCCACACGCTCACTCCCGCTGCGAACAGCAGAGAGGTCTGCACTCAGTTACCCAGGGTAAACCGACCAGTGGAATTTAGAATTGGACCCAACCCCCAAGGAGCTAGTTCCCTGGTTGCCTAAGGAAATGGAAACTAGTAAGAAAAATGGGAACCACACCATCCCTTGGTGATTATCTGTAATGGCTAAAATAAGATTTGGGGCGCCTGGGTGGCTCAGTCGGTCAAGCGACTGCCTTCGGCTCAGGTCATGATCCTGGAGTCCCTGGATCGAGTCCCGCATGGGGCTCCCTGCTCAGCAAGGAGCCTGCTTCTCCCTCTAACCCTCCCCCCTCTCATGTACTCTCTCTCAAATAAATAAATAAATCTTTAAAAAAATAATAATAAAATAAAATAAAATAAGATTTAAAAAGAGTTCTAGTTTGGGCTTTGGTGCTAGACGGAGCTCAGGTTTTGGTCAGCCTAAGCTTCGGCTGCTAGCCTCAGAGATGGCCACAGAGAGTCACCGAGAAGGCTGTCAATGTGGGGGTGGGGTGCAAAACCACAGAATTACTGAAACCAGACACCAGCGGGTATAGCGTGAAAGAGTTGCCCCATTTTGTAGATTGGTATCATCAACTTCCTGGAGAACCTTTTTAAAAGTGGATTGTGAGGGTGCCTGGGTGGCTCAGTCGGTTAAGCGTCTGCCTTCGGCTCAGGTCATGATCCCAGGGTCCTGGGATCGAGTCCCGCATCGGGCTCCCTGCTCAGTGGGGAGCCTGCTTCTCCCTCTGCCTGCCGCTCCCCCCTGCTTGGCTCTCTCTCTTTCTCTATGTATCAAATAAATAAAATCTTTAAAAAAAAAAAGTGGAGTGTGAAAGAGACTAACTTAAGGGCAATATCCTTGGCTTTAAATGCTGCAGGGTAGAACTGGGTGGACGCAGGACCCACAGCTTCCTCTTAAATCCCACAGGTGGTTGCATGCAATCCAGACACGCAGGACATTATTCCTGGGGAATAATCCCAAAGCCACCCAGCGGCCACCAAGAGTCCCCTCTTTGGCACACACTCAGGGACGGTGGAAAAGGCCTAAGTGTGAGTAACATAAAACCCTCCTCTCTCCCCTATTACTCGGGAAATTCCAAGATTTTGAGAAGCACCGTGCCAGGAACTGGGACAAAGACCAAATACAGATTAGTCTATCGCAAGATCACACCCCCGCCCCCCAGCTTCTTTCCGGAGTGTTTGCGACCACAGTCTAGACATTCATCATCTCATGTGCATCTATAACTAACAAGGGCTCGTCACAGATGTCGTACCCAACAAAATCAGCAAGTACCCTCTAATATCTTACGACACCCAGTTCACATTCAAATGTCTTTGATTATCTCAAAGGCGGCTTTTACAGCTGATTTGTTCCAAGAAATAAACAAGGTCCACAGGTGGCTTTGGCTGTTGTTGTCCCTTCGGTCTCTTTAATCTGTGAGGGAATTCCCTCCCTTTTCTTTCTTTTTGGTTTCCATGTCACCGGTTCGATGGGAAACAGAATCTTCGTCCCGTAGAATCTTCCTCATTCTGCATCTGGCTGATGGCTTCCTCGGGATGTTTTGTGCTGTGTTTTTTTGTTTTGGAGGTTTTTTGTTTTGTTTTTTAATTTCCTCATTTATCTTCCTTCGTTCCTGTAAGCTGGTAATTAGATCTAGATGGGAAGACACTTCTACTGTGGTCTGTGCCAACTTCTGCAGCTGATCTCATGCCACTTGCCACCCCCTCTCTACCCTCCAGCCAGATGCCTCTAAATAGACACAGTGCTCTCTCATCATGGAACTTCCCCATTTTCTTGCTCAACCGATGTCGTCTCAGCCTAAACATCACTTCCTTAGGAAAGGAGAACTTCCCTGACTCCCTGATAAGGGTAGACAACCCCCCGCGCAAAGTTCTCAGAGCGCCCTGTATATCCCCTAAGACCATAAAAGGGAAGCCCAGGTCCCTGGTGAATTGAGAGTAAATAAAACTTTTTACCACTCCCTTGGCCAGAAAATAACCTTTCCCTGCATTCCTGGCATCTACTGCATAAAAAGTAGGAAAGGATATGGTTATCTCTGAGTGGCAGGATTACTGAGGATTTGCTTGCTCTTCTGGTTTATCTGTGTTGCTCATTTTTCTTCCATGAGCACGCAGTACTTGTGTAATAAAAATGTTTAATTTACAAATCGTTGCGTTTAATAATTCACTCACTAAACACTGAGTGAATGCAAGCAAGGCTTTGTGTGGTACTTGAGAGATGTGATGGGGGAAAACAGACAGTGTCTCTGCCTCCGTGAAGCTTACGGTCAGTGGCAGGGGTCCGTAAACCGTGGCCTCTAGCCCGACTCAGCCCTCCGCCTGCTTTTGGATGAGCGGCAAGCTAAGAAACCAAAAGAAGAAGAATCTGTGATGTGAAAATTATATGAAATTCAAATTGCGGTGTCCATCAATTTATATCAAAATAGACCCCACAGCTATTTATTTATGTATTGTCTGGGGCGGCTTTCACGATACAAATAGCAGGGTTTTGAATACGGTACTTGCGACAGAAACCCTATAGCCCTACAGAGCCTAAAATATCCTCTAACAGGCTCTTCATAGAAGAAGTACTCTGACCTCTTTAACCTTTTTTTAAGATTTTATCTTATTTATTCAAGAGAGAGCATGAGCAGGGGGAGCAGCAGAGGGAGAGGGAGAAGCAGACTCCCCGCTGAGCAGGGAGCCCGATGGGATGCAGGGCTTAAAGCCAGGACCGGGAGATCAAGACCTGAGCTGAATGACCTGAAGGCAGATGCTTAACCAACTGAGCCACCCAGGCGCCCCAGGGCAAGATTTTTAAAAATGCAGGGGTGCCTGGCTGGCTTAGTTGGAAAGAACACGTGACTCTTAATCTCAGGGTCTTAGTTCGAGGCCCCCACGTTGGGCATAGAGATTATGTAAATAGATAAGTAAACTTAAAAGAGAAGATTTTCGGGGCGCCTGGGTTAAGCATCTGCCTTCAGCTCAGGTCATGATCTCAGGGTCCTGGGATCGAGCCCCACATTGAGCTCCCTGCTCAGTGGGGATCCTGCTTCTTCCTCTCCCATTCCCCCTGCTTGTGCTCTCTCTCTCTGACAAATAAATAAGGAAAATTTTAAAAAGAAAGATTTTCAAAATGCAGATTTATGAGATTTTGTGTAGGTCATAAAGTCAATTTAGTGGGCCTCAAACAGCATTTTTTTTTTTTTTTAATGAAATAGGATAGAGGGCGCCTGGGTGGCTCAGTTGGTTAAGCGACTGCCTTCGGCTCAGGTCATGATCCTGGAGTCCTGGGATCGAGTCCCACATCGGGCTCCCTGCTCAGCAGGGGGTCTGCTTCTCCCTCTGACCCTCTTCCCTCTCGTGCTCTCTGTCTCTCATTCTCTCTCAAATAAATAAATAAATTTTTAAAATCCTTAAAAAAAAAAAAGACCTCATTAAAAAAAAAAGAAATAGAATAGAATAAAACTATTAGGTGTATCATGTCATGAGAGTGAATATTATTTTGTGAGACATTTGCTTCACTTACATCTACCATATATGCTCAGTGTGCGTGTGTGTTCTGCATCATGATATGAGATGTGTTCTTTACTGTAGACCATGGTCAAACATCTGAAAGTCACAGGCTTGGAGGGAGGCCTGGAAGACACAGAGAAGTCACCAGGAAGTTCTAGTACAGTGTGACTGGTGTGATGATGAGAAGTTCCAGACTCTTAGAGACACAGAGGAGGCACTTAAGACAGCCTTGAGGTATCAGGGAAGGCTTCCTGGAAGAAATGACATCTAAGCAGTAACCTGAAGGACAAGTAGGGGTTAGCCAGGTAAAGAAGAGAAAAGATGGTAATAGCATGTGCAAAGGCCCTGGGGCAAAAGTAAGTAAGGGGTTTGGGAGAAACTACAAGGAGTTCAGTACTGTTAGAGTTTAGAATGAGATGAGGCTTTTTTATCCCCATCCCTCTCCGTCACGTCACACCTCCATTTTCCCTGAGCGCTTATCCCAGTTGCCTTATTATTTATTTACATTATTTATTTATTTACAATTTATCCTTCAACACACTTGAAAAAGTAAATTCCACGAAAGGGGAGACCGGTCTGTCTTCTTTAGAACCATGCCCTCG